TTGTAAACATGGCGCTATCCAAGTACACTTCTAACGCGACCGGAATTCCAAAATGGCAAATTGCTCTCGCCGTAGGAGGAACTGTGGCTGCAACAGCTGGTATATATTACTTCTTGATCAGAGATTCCAGTAAAAAGGGATCCCAGACCAAGACACAGTCGAAAAAATCTAGAGATTCGACTGTAAGTGGTGGGTCTCCCGCGAACGAAGCAGAATCCGCAGGAAAGGCAGACGATGCCGCGAACTTGGTAAGTTTTGTGTGATACTTTGAGTGAGTTACAGCGATTGATATTATCTATAACACCGCTTACTCAAAGTGTATGTTAATTTTACACTATGGTCGATTGAAATAAGTTAAAGCTCCAATGAATCTAGCTATGTTGTGGTTCGCTTCTTGGAGATGACAATGTTTTTATTTTTAAAGATCAGTCTGTATATCCGGTTGGAAAATATATCGTTTTTCACGGACGCGTGGTATTGTATGGGCTGTGACCTGCGAGCAAAGAACATTTATGGTGCGAGCAACAGTCATAGTTTTTCACTTATAATAACGGTGTTGTGAAGTGACTTAATGAATAGGCAGATATAGTGCCCTGAACTGGTAACATTCGGGAAACACATTCTGCAATGAAGCATTCTGATTAGGACTTCCCAGACAGCATCTGCATCATTAGATTTATTTTTCTGTGATGAGAATGAATCTGAAGCAATCACAACGATGATCCTAATAGCAGCGGAGGGCATGAAGTATATCATGGAAATTATGAGATAAAATAAGTTGAAATAAAAAGAATGGATAACAGAAATGAGTTAAACCAGAACAAGTAATGCCTAAAATTGGCGGTAATTTTTACAGATTGTGACGCACCTTTGCAGAAACTAAGTTCCAAGGGGGGGGGGGTAATTGTTGAAGACTGCGATGCACCCTCGCAGAGACTAAGTCGAAAAAAATTGATGTTTTTCTGCAGGAAATCCAATGATTTCATTGATTTTCGGCGTTGTTTTTTCAGTGAAAGAATCGTTCAGGAGATTGAGGACCATTTCTCCATCTTGATTTGATAGTCCTGTTAGCAGGGGAGGGCATGAAGTACCTCAGGGAAATTATGGGGTAAAACAGGCTTAGATAAGAAGAATAAAAAATGCATAAAACTAGGACAAAAAATGCTTAAAATCGGCCAATGAAACTCAACAGATTTAACCGCCATCTTTGAAATTCTACGGACTGATGCGCCAGAAATCAAAAACTTTATGGGAGCCCAACCCACCTTTCGGCAAAACTCTATGGGAATTCACATGTTCCAAACCCCCCAAAAAAACATATTGACTAATAAACCAACATAATATATCAATATAAATTGCCGTGACTAGACAACTACATAATCTTAAGAATAACCCAGAATGAACACAACACTGGAAACGCAACATTTCTTACTGGCGTTCCGTTTCGAAATGGTGTCAACCTGGCAGCAGCGAAAGGAAGTGTGAAATGCAGAATGCGCATGAATCTAAATAAGGCTATGAATCAATCTTACACGGAAAAGTAGCCAAATGTTGTTTTGACATGTGCATAGTAATACTGGAACTACTTAGGGCATCGCATTAAGGAGTTACGCGTTCAGTGTTGTGTATTTCTTAACAAGTTAAACAAGCTCATCGACGCGTGCTTTATATTTTCGTCATTTAGTGGTGACTGTAAGGCCTCTGCATCTTATACCATATCCTATCCCACTCTATTTCTTCTGCTCTATAAGATGGCGGTGTCCAATTTGCTCTTTCTATGCGCGTCGGTCTCTTTCATCTCTACCGGCATTAGAAAAATTTTAAAATCGAGTTCACGAAGGGGGGAGGGGGGATTGCACAAGGTCACTAGCAACCTGTAATTGTCGAAATAAAATAAATACCATTTAAACATCGTTAAAAAGTGTAATTATCTGAAAGGCAAGCCAAACTTCATGTCCCGAAAACAACAGAAAGGCCATATAATCAGAAACACGAGCCAAACTTTGTCCGACGGACAACAAAAGAAATACCGCAAAAGTAAACAAGCGCAACACGCAATGTGTACAAACTCGATATCAGAAAAAAAAAATTGTAAACACAATATGTGCTTATCATGTGAACCAAAGTAACAAAATCATAACATATGAAAAAATTACCCCCCACCCCCTTGTGCTTATTACCACAAAGTCAAATGATTATATATTATTTCTAAATACACAACATATACTGTCAGTGTGGAGGATATGGTGAGCTGCGGCGAGGAGGAACTGATGTATTCTTTTATTCTCCACCGGGTACATTTGAAAAATGAAGTGGTATATCCTCCTGCCGAGGCGCGGCACTTTTGAATGGGCCTCCCTCCATTTATGATTCACAGTTAGATGTTGATTTCCCTCTTTCTCCAGACGTTAAGCAAAGAGTGAAAGTCATGCATCTCCATACTCCTCCAAAATCCCACTGACCTTCAATTACTCAACCAACATGTATTTTCTTTTTCCAAATTTAGATTCATCAATCTCTACAATTTCCCCGGACCCACCAATTTTGTCGGATTGATTTTCAAAGCATGAAAAAATGAGTACCTCCCGGCAGAAGCTCCTTCAATCGCCAATAGTCTTGTTTGGTAAATTAAATTCGCTCAATGCAGATTCGTAAGAAAACCTGTCTCTCAAATACTAATTGACAAGTTAGTTTCAAAATCGATCTTAGGTGTTCTTAAAAAGTGGGTTTTTGAAATTGCATCTAACTTTCCTATTATTATTTTTTTTTTGGGGGGGGGGTTGTTGCACCTGAAAGAGTTAATGTTGTCAATGCAACAAATGCTGTCCCATTTGGGGCATTTTGACTCCCCTAAAATGAGGCTGGCAAAGATCTAGCAAGAGGTCAGCCTGGCCTCCATATCAAAAAAAAAAAAGTGCTCGTACCTACCATAAAGATATTTAATTTAGCTCTATTGATCTATCTTGATGAAATCAAAACACTATATTTCATTGTTATTAAAAGATAGATAAAATAATAATTACATAAAAACAATCTACTTACCCATGTCACACTGCGCACAGAAATTGCTTGGACCTGCCATGACAAGAGTTTACCACAAAGTGATCAAGTAATTTGCATTGTGTATTTTTCCAACATGGAGGCTAAAAAAATAATTACATTACATAGAAAACCCAATTATAATATAAAAGTATAAAAGGAATAGAGGAAATGTTCTTAGAAATGTAAAATGATAATGGTTAAAATAATTACTAATCGGAAGTGATGTTAAGTTGGTAGAAAATGGAGCAAGAAAACGTGACATTAATAGAAAATGCAGTTATAGAAAATGGATTTACAGAAAATGAGACACAGAAAACAATTTCATAGAAAATGTAGACATAAACAAGTAACTCTGGCTGAGGAAGGGTGTTTGGGACTTAGTCTCTGCATGGCACATAGTGCTGCAGTTTTTTTCCATTTACCAGTAATTATAAGGCTTCTGCATATTAAACTATGTCCTATTCCGATCTATTTCTTCCGTTCTATAAGATGGCAGTGTCCAATTTCTATCTACGCACGTCAGTGTCTGTAACTTCTACCAAATTGGCTAGTGAAACTACAAACGTGTCTGCAGTCTTTGAAATTCTATAGACCGATGTACCAACTTTGATAAAGATTTGGGAATCCAACACACCATTCAATAAATTTTATGGGAATTCACACCATGCAACCCCCCCAACTCCTGACTCCCCATGGGATCCCCAAACATTCTTGGCTGGAGTCGGGGACTTAGTCTCCTATGGGTGCAGTTATAAACCTTTACCAACCACAGCATGGATAGTAACTTTGTAAACTGTGGTTAATGTTACTAAGAGCAATACACAGAGATAAAGGGAAATGGACAGTGTCATCTTATAGAGCATAAGAAATAGAGCCATGTATAACATGGGTACAGCTGGAGTGGCCTCATATTAGAAAATATCCACTTCATATCACTGCTCAGAGACTAAATCCACAACACCCTCACAGAAGGATTTCTTAATGTGCCTTTTCTGCAATTTGGCTTGAAGTGCTAATAAAGGCAGTTTAATCTAGAGGATATGGAATTTTAGTAAACATACATGAAATGCTACTAAAATGGAAAAACAAATGCAAACTAATAGAGGAAGTCAAATTTAAAGCATGGAAAGACATAATTATGTCATAATATTAAAATAAAGCAGCCAAAATTTGTCGCTTCCAGACATAAATTCCCTTTTTCGTGTATCGGCAAAGTCAGTGTCAACAAACCATGCAACTCATAAGATGGCACTCAGGAAAGTAGTACAAGTGCTACTTTTTATCGTTTGAAAAACGTTTTAGAGTAATTTCATGCATTCTTACCATACTTTGTCCATAACTAATATAATGTACTAATATATTTCATTAATTAAACCAATTTATCTTTTGTCTAATCGCATTTTACAATTGGTAGATTTTTCTGTGACAGTGAAGTGAACGGAAATGTTTTGTGACAGGTGATGTTTTGTGACTGGTGTGATTTATCATATACGGATTTTGTTAAAAAATATGGGGATCAACAAGAAAAACTCATTCAACTGCACCAGTTGAATGAGTTTTTCTGGTTGATTCTTAAGGGGACCGGCCCAGATGAGGAAGTGGGACTAGGGGTCAAATTGAGTTAGCTAGCATATGATATAGGTACATGGATGAGGAAACTACCAAATGAGTATTAAATGCTTGCTATGGCTTATCTTGCAGCCGACGTGAGACCCGCTGAACAGCTGGGGAGGTATGTTGCTAATGAGTGCCCAGGTACACCCATGTGAACCTTTCCTTGTTGTAATTGCGCATATGGCATTTGATTATGACATTGCACATAGATATGAGTTCGTGAATATTCAGGGAACATTTTTATACCATTATCAGAAGAAAATTATATTAGTGATTTAAGACATTATTTTGTGAAATATTTATTTTTTTAAATGTATGTTTTGTGTTCTTTTACACACAAAATATGTTTCTATCAACACTCCCTGGTAATATTATGTAGTTTACAAAGTGATCTGTATGTATGCCGAGTACGAAGCACTAATGTTTGAAAATTGCCGTATAAGTAAGGATTGAACATTACCGTAAGACGACTCAACAGTCGGTACATCACAGCATGGGTAAATTTGACTTGATTTGAAATTGGTCGTTACCATTGTTACGGCCAATTCTATATAAAGGTTACCTAAATGTCGGATTTTTGAACTTCGAATGTATAAGCGAGATACTGATAATTTCATATTGAAGATGAGAGTACCCCGTAATATCTGCTCTGAAATAAAAACTATATGGAATTTTGAGCTTGTAGTGTGCGCAGTCTTTGTCTAGAGTTGATAGCTATCGTTTCTGTTTTTTGCGTTCCTGATAAAAACTATTATGTTTAGACATTTTATGTAGGTCTTAGGTACCATAAATTCGCAAATATCCCACCACACCTAGGTGTCTGTATGATTTTATGCACTTCTTAGTAGAGATAATGGGTGCAAATGGCTATTCACCAACTCTACACTTGTTCCCCTTTGCAATCTGTTAATATTGACAATTTGAGAGGGATAACTAATATATTTTATTAGTTAGATCTGAAAGTTGATGTAGGCCTATTAAATGAGGATGATTCATTTTTTTAACTTTAGGTGCGTGTTTTCACATACATATGATCCTCCTCGAAAATTATTAACACCCATTAAGCATCCACCCCCCCCTGTGTGGAGCATGGGAAAAATTCAACGACTTCGGTAAGTTCTCGAATTCCATGTACTAGAAATGCTTTAAAAATTCTCAAAATTGAACCACCATGTTGTATTCATGCTAGGACTTTATAATTAGGATGATTTAGTACTAATGTTGCCATCCACAGATCCTCATTTCTTCAAAATCAAAGTAAAAATAATAATAATAAATAAATAAAAAAGGTTTCTTATCTGGTTTAGATTAGATTCGAATTCCAGGTGTCTCTTTGGTAAAATGCATTTATTAAACTTTTCAGACAAAAATATCTACTTTTATACATATAAAAAAAAAAAAACCTTTATAGGAAAGTGTCCCTATTGAAAATGGTAATTGTGATGGACTTGATAATCATTGCATGGCAAAGTACTCTATGTAAGTTTTTTATATATATATATATATATATATATATTATATATATATATATATATATATATATATATATATATATATATTAACATTGTTAGATTTAGAGAAAAATAACAGAGATAACGAACTTTGGCAAACTGCCAAAATATTATACGCCGTATCTCCGATTCTTGTTTCCATGACCTTTGGTACATAATGGGGCTTGTAATTTTCATGCGATGCAAATGCAGTTGCTTTTGCTAGAGCCTCAGAGCCCTCAGGCTATGTAATAGTCCGATTTTTAAAATTTTGACCTTAATAAAAAAAAAAAAAATGATTTTTTTAATGCTGAAAAAAGACAAAAAATAGTCCTCTATGTCAACCAATCTTCCGCCAAAAAAAAAGGAAATAAAAAAAATCAGGCTATTTACGGCTTTAGGCTAGGATAGATTTAATGAAGTTTTTGTGGATCGTTCAGGAAAGAAACTGTGGGCCACATTATGTACCGAAGAAGAGGGAAAAAAGACAATTTTTTCAACTCCCAAACCCCTCCCACCCCCACCCCAATGGGGATGCTGCCATGAATATGCGCCCAGGTACACCTATATGGACTTTTGCTTGTTTCGATCGTGCATATGGCATTAGATAATGATATTGCGCATATATATGAGTTTTTGAAAGTTCAAAGAACATGCTTATACCAATATCAGAAGAAAATTATATCATTGATTTTTGACAAAATATTTTATGAAAAAGAAAGAAGTTTTGTGTTCTTCTACAAGTAAAATAAGCTTCCATCAAGACTTCCTGGTAACATGTTGTAGCTTACAAAGTGGTCTGTATGTATTCCGAGTATGAAACACTAATGTTTGAAAATAGCTATAAATAAGGATTAAAATATTTCTGTTAGACTTTGTTTAACGGTCAGTACTTTACAACATCAGTAAATTTGATTTTATTTGAAATTGGTTGTTTCCGCTGTAAAAAGCACTTCAATATGAACAGCACCTAAAAGTCGGATTTTGAACTTCGGAGATATAAGCGAGATATCGATTATTTGATGTTGAAGATGGTAGCACACAATAATACCCACTTGGATATAAAAGCTATATGGAATTTTGAGCTCCTTTGTATGTGCAGTCATCATCCACAGTTCAAAAAGCTATCCTTTTCGGGTGATTCAGAAAAAAATATAATGTTTAGACGTTACCATAGGTGATAGGTATCATAAATATGCAAATATCCAACCACACCTAGGCATCTGCAAGATGCACTTCTTAGCAAAGATAATGGGTGCAGATGAATAAACAACTCTACAATTGTTTCTCATTGCAAACTGTTACTATCGAGAATTGTCAAAGAAAATGGTTTGAGAGGGATAGCAAATATATT